CAGAAGCCTGTGCAGACGACAGGTTACTAGGATGATCTTTCAAGAGTACCAAAAGATTATGTGCATAATGATGAGTCTTCTGTTCTTGCTGGCTTCACATTATCAAAGACGCATCAATTATGTGTCATCCTGGTTGAAAAGCACTGCCTGTGCGTGCTGCCTTTGGGTTTCCAATGTGTCTGAGGGTGACTTGAGTATTTGTGACAAATTGTCTGCAGTCCTGTGCCTGAAAAGTGCGTTCCTGTATGTGCAATAATGAATGCAAAGCAAAACAAGCTTGCACTGACTTTGTTTGACTGTCCCTGTGTACATATTAAAAGCTGAGGGGTGTCTCTGTGCAGCGCTTGGCACAATAGGGACTGGAACATGAAGTAGAGGGTCTTGAAGGCACTTTCAGATATAAACATCCAGCAAAGGAGGAAAAAAAAGAGAAGACAAACAAATTTATTACGTAGGAGAAAGATTTCCAAAACTGGTTTGTAACATAGAAGAAAAATGATGGAAAAGTGGCTTGCATTGAAGAGGCAGGGGAAGAGTCTTGATGAGTTTCATATTGGATGGGTCAAGAGGGAATCAACATGGGGAAAGAGAAGCATTATTTCTGGCATGTTGTAGAATGGTTGAGTTTGGAAGCGACCTCTGGAGCTCATCTAGTTCAACCTGCTCTGCTCAAACAGGGTTGCCTAGGGCAAATTTCCAAGGATTGTATCCAGATATTTTTTATTATCTTGAAGGATGAAGTCTCCATAACCTCTGGGCAAAATATTCCAGTGCTTTGTTTACCTCACATTAAGGAAGTTTTTCCAGATGTTTGGATAGAGCTTCCTGTGTTTGAGCTTGTGGCCAGAGCCACCACTGAAAAGAGTCTGTTCCCATCCTCTCAACACCCTTCCATAAGATATTTGTACATGCTGATGAGATCCTCTTCTCAGTCTTCTCTTTTCCAAGACTGAAGAGTCTCAGCTCTTGCAGCCTTTCTTCATATTAGAGATGCTCAAGTGCCCTGTCTTCATAGCCCTTCACTGGACTTTCTCCAGTAGCTCCATGTCTGTCCTGTACTAGGGAGCCCAGCGCTGGACACCATACTTTACATGTGGCCTTACTGGGGCTGAGCAGAGGTAAAGGATCAACCTCCCTTGACCTGCTGGCAACACTCCTGCTAATGCACCCCAGGAGATCATTGGCCTTCTTGGCCTCAATGACACATTGCTGGTTCATGGCCAGTCTGTAGTCCGTCAGGACACCTATGTCCTTTTCTGCAGAGCTGCTCTCCAGCAGATCAACCCCTAGCTTGTCGTGGTGTATGTGGTTATTCCTCCTAAGGTGCAGACCACTGCCCTTGTCCATGTTGAACTTCATGAGGTTCCTCTCTACCCAGCTCTCCAGCCTGTCCAGATCCCTCTTAAGGGCAGAAAAGCCCTCTGCATCTCCTCCAAGTGTTTTGTCATCAGCAAACTTACTGCAGGTGTGCTCTCTCCCTTTGTGCTGGTCAGTAATGAAGAAAAAGAGAAGACAATGAGTTAAAATTGATACCTAGTTTCTTGCGTTTACATACGCTTGCTGTGCTGTGCATTGGGGAGGCTTTGCAATAGGGCAAGAAGTACCTGCATGGAGCTTCGAGGGAGAGGTGCTTCATATTTCACTGAGACAAAATCAGATATGTTTCTTATAATGGCCTTGAGCTGTTCTTTGTGTCATTTCCCCAAAAAGGGCCCTGAAGCATTTTGAACCCGGCAGCAATTGCTAGCATCGAGACTTGCCTGAGGAGCTCTACCTAAACAATCCGTTGCTACCTGGTAGCATGGTGGTGCAAGTTAGTGCTCATAAAATGTTCTCAGGGCTGTGGATGCAGAGGCCATTGCAGTCTGACAGTTACTGATGGTTTCTCCAAATCTTCCAGATTTGTATTTCCCTCTCTCCTTCACTCTCTCTCTCTTTTTTTTTTTTTTTTTTTTTTTTTAGACAGCCTATTTAGAAAGCCATTAGCCCAGACCCTGAATTGACTGATAATTTAAAGGCATTTCAAAGCACGGCCTTTGCTCCATCCCCAGGTACATGGTGCATATCATTGGATACCTACGGTAGCGCGGCAGCACTATCTCACAGTAATGGCACATGGGTCCGTTGGCGAAAATAAATCAGTCCCCAGATCTTGCAGGAAAGAAACTGGCATCTGGAATTTATCTTCTGTGGGTAGTCCTTAGGAGAGGGGAGAAAACAGCAGGGAAAGGCAAAAGGCTGAGTAGAAGGGGAAATAGTATGAGCGAGTAAATCCAACAACTAAACTCATTTCTCCTCTGAAAGACACCCCTAAATCTGTGGTTTCACAGGGTCTGTGAACTGAATCTTTTGCCCATGTGCAAGGTCCTCCTCTGCAAGAATTCCCTGTCTGACTGCACACATCATGATCACCTCAGTGTTGCCTGTTATTTATGCAGTGGCCAAGTCTTTTAGGCAGTGGCCAAGTTATTTAGGCAGTGGCCAAGTAGGGAAATTTCTCCATATATCTTGACCAATGTCTTTGACAGTGGCTGTTGTCCTCACCAAAACCCTGCTAAAAATCAAGGAGTTCTGATAGAGCTGCAGTACTTCAGCCTATCCTTAAGTATATGCGCTGATTTAAGCATGTGGACAATACTGTTGATCATAATGGGATCAGAAATGGAAGAGAGGCTTTTCTAGATGACAAATAAACCTATTTACAAAACAGAAGCTAGTTTTAGAATTAATGTGGGGAAGCAAGTAAGTCTGGGGTGTGGATATAACAAGCTCTCATTAGCATCTGTGAGGAATTAGAGATTTATAGAATAACAGTTCACCCATTGCTCATATTTTAAATAACAATTATTTGGTCTAAGCATAATTATAAATAAGCTTTTGCTTCTCATAAATTTTCTACTTGATTACTAGAGCCATTGTTCAAGTGTAGAGCAGAGAGAAACCATTAGAAGCTGTTTATGCTCTGCAAATGAGAGCAGAAATTATAAAGGAAATGTGTATTAGTGAATAAAAGGACATTGATCCATGTGCAGAAAACGTCGTGCCTGAATGAGATGCAATTGTGCTGATTATTTTTGTGAACAACCAGAAATATATAAGCGAACATCTGAACATGTCTATACAATTCCTTGTTTATGCTCCTGGAAATATTTTTTTTTCTATTTTGTTTGAATAATACATTTTTTTCTATAATATTTGCTGAAATGCATTATTGGCAAATCTTTCCCTTAGGCTTAGTAATTACAAATTATGTAAAACTACTTAATATATAGTTATTGCACTCCTTATATAAAAGTATTCAAACAAATGTGAGATCCAAAGAACTGGGCTTTGCTTTGTCTTTCCTTTCAAACTTTGAAGATAATCCTTAGAAGTAATTCATGAATCATGAGATTTCTTGTCCACTAGTTCTCTGCAGCCGGTCACCTTAATTCCTGTCCTACAAAATGATTTTGCAAAGCCTCCATCATCTCAGAAGGTTCTTTTCCATTTCAGTCAGTGGCATTACACAAGAAGGAAATTGCCTGGAAACATGCTTTTTAACTGGAGCATAAGTGGGTTTTGTTGAGTCTTTCAGGACAATCTTTCCCCCATTTTTTGTTGTCAACTTATCCATGAAAAGTTGGGTTTGCACTGTTAATGGGTTAGTGTAGGTTCTCAAAAGAAAAAGCCCTTTATTAGGTGTGACACTTTTTCCCCTTCTTCCACTCCTCCAAAAGCAACAAAACAAAAAAAGTCATGGAAAATTTTTGAAGAGAAAACAAAAACTTTCTAAAACTTTCTTGGTTGGACTTGAGGAGGGCAGGAGTTCCATTTTCCAGATCTCTCCACTTGAAATGCTCTTGGTGTGACTGATGAAATGTAAACAAACCTCAGATATCTACAGTCAACTGGACCTGAAGAAAGGATTTCCTACTATGTTTGTTCAATCAGTTGTCTTTCACATCTTTGCCAAGCCCATAAAAATAAGAATTCACTTAGATTTCAAGTGATGACTTCCTTTATTCTCTACTTTGATGAGAAGGCTGTTTTGCTACAGAATCTAAGAAATGTGTGCTCATTCTTCATTACCTACATCTAGGGCAAGGGAGTCTAAATATGAGTTTTAGAGCTCCTGACTTTCTTCTCAAAAAGCTAATTTACACCAGTTAATTTTCTGCATGCAAAGTTGTTCATTGGCATACATAGGGGCAAAGATTGTAGCATGGCTTATACACCTCAAGTTAGAGTAACCAACCCTTGAAATCCTGCTTTCATTTTTCCTTTTCCTGACACAGGAGAGGTTCTGGTAGGAAGTTCCCAAATTCTCCAATGTTGCTGAGGGTCCCTTGGAAAGGAAAACTGAGTCACTTTATGAAAGTGCATTTGAATGGGAGCTTTGCCAGGGAGCTCTAAAAAGCAACCGCTTGAATCTTCAATGTTGTAGCTACAGCAAGATTAAAAAAAAGAAGGACGATGACTTTATTATGCCTAGACTAGAGAATAATAGGCAAATGGTTCAATTAAATCATCTTTCAAGGCAGGAAAATCACAGGATATTGGTGGGAATGCCTAGTCTGCTGTACCACAGATTGTACAGACAGGCATTCAGTGAAAATGCACCTGGAACTGCAGGAAGGGAGGAGATGGAAAGCCTGACATGTGTGGGAGAAAGGTAAGGGGAAAGAGGAAGTAGTTTACACAAAATAGACAAAAAAATGTTTTTCTCTCCAAAAACGTTGGCTTCTGTTTTGAATTCCTGCCACATCTAAATGCTTTGCACCACAATTTCCAATTAAGCAAGCATCTAGTGCTCATCATTTCTTAACAGCCCTTACTTGTGAGCACAGAAGGACCTATTTAGCAATGATTCAGCAGGTGATCCTAGTCAAGCTTGTGAGTAATCTCCTTTTCTCCTGTGAAAGAGAGGCTCATTCTGAGCAATCACAGCTGTCTGTGGGGATGTGAGGAGAGTATCATCCTTGCATTTCTAAGGAGGGTTAGCGTTATATACTCTTATCTCTTTCCCACCTACTTTCTTACTCTTTTCTATTATTATTATCATCTATTTCTGTTTGTTTTATTTTGGCTTTTTATTAAGAATACATCAAAAATGCTGTCTTAGAGCCAAGCCAATTTAACTGGATAGAGGCAGTAGTGCTCTGTGAGTTGGCTGAGCTGTGCTGGGGTTTGCAGTAAGTGTTAATTGTTTTTTTTCTGATGTCTTTTATCAGTGCATTCCATTGTCTTCATCCTGCTTTGAACTGTCTTTCTCCCCTCTAATCCTGGGGCACCCTACCTGCTCTAGACAGAAACCTGTTAGCGATGGATTTACCCTCAACAGGCTTCTGACAGATGAAGGCTTATGCCAGCTGAGCTTTTATTATTATTATTATTATTATTATTATTATTATTCTAGTGCTCCCTTCCTAGTTCAAAACCACCTGCTCGAATGCTCTGAGCTACACCAGGCGGCCTGTTGTTCCCCTCGGCCCTTTCCATCTCCTCTTGATGGTCTCCTGCTGTTGACCTGGTCTCCAGCACTGAAGTTACTTATCAACCCACTGCACTTCCTTGCCTGCTCTTCCCTGCCTTATCGCCTGCCTTCCATCCACCGCTGGTGCTGCAGTGTGCTTGGATATTGCTGTAGGCCCGGCTGGTTATCGTGTTTAATTGTCTGTACGTTTGCTTTTTGCAGCTGGCCGCCAGCAGAACTGGGTTGACCTGGTATTTGCATAGTCTGCAGGCTGTCTACAACTGTGGCCATCCTTGCTGGATGAAGTGGGCCTGCTGGGACCCCAGTGGATTTATGTAACTGGAAACAATAGCATTAGGTCCAAATTGGGAGCTCTCGATTAATTTCTGGGCTTTCCCTGACCAAAACAGCTCACGGCTGCAATGCTCAGTTTCTCCACGGTCACTGGTCCTAAGTGTTGCTCTGTGTGGTCTCCAGCAAAGACCAGACCCGGCTGTGAGCAGAGGAGCAGCCAGTGTTAGACTGTGGAGCAGCAATCAATGCCTAGGGCTGGGAATTTGTCTTGTGGGTTGTCCTCAGCTTGAAGCCTTGCATTTAGCACATGATGATGCTGCGAAGCTTTATTCTCCAGTTATTTTACTGACTCCGTCTGTATTTTTCATTCCTTCCCAGAAACTCACCCTTCTTTAGTTGAGGGAAATCAGTATTTACTGCAGAGACACCACATCCATAGGGCTAACAGGAAAGGAACTCAGGGGTATGGGCTGCCCTATTCTAAGGCTTTAAGACTTTCATACAGCTTTATATTTTATAGAAGCAATTGTGTGATGCAGATTTGCCTTGATGATAGTTTCCCCCTCATGTAACAGCTTCTTTTGTAGAAACCTAATAAGCATCTTTGCATCATTAAGGACTGAAATACTGATTAACAAAGAGAAGTCTCTGTTATGAGTTTAGACCTTCTTCCTTGATAACTACAGGATTTGGTTTTGACATACAGCTATAATATAAATGGAGGGTGATTAACTTAATAACACTTTCAGCTTAAAAAGTTATCTATTATTATGAATCATTGTCTGAGTAACTTATGGTTCCATTTTCCATGGGTTATAAAAAGCAGAGCTGATTTAAAACCAACACATCTGATTTGAGCTTGAAGGCTTAGGCTTTTATTTTTCCTGAATTAGTTTAATGAAGGGCTGGTGTTTTAAAAAGCATCATCTGGCTACTCTTTTTTTTTTTTTTTTTTTTTTTTCCTCCCGTCCTTCCGTCCTTCCGTCCTTCCTTCCTTCCTTCCTTCCTTCCTTCCTTCCTTCCTTCCTTCCTTCCTTTTTTCCTCCCTCTTTCTTTCTTTCCCTGGACATTTTCACTTTCAAAAAGCTATTTTTTTTTGTCTAGAACATATAGATTCCTCATTCTTTATGCAGCACATTTGGCAGAGATGGCACTGGAGATCAGTAGCAATCACAGCAATATAGGGTTGAGTTATTACAATCTATGTTTGCCTTGGCTCATCTAGAAGGGAAGAAAAAATCAAGAAGAGATTAAAATGCAATTCAACTTCAGTAACGCTAAATTTCTTGCCTAGAAAATGTTCTGCAGAAGGCCTTTGAGGGACATGCTGGGATACACATAGAAATGGTGAACCTTTTGGACTGGTGAACTGAGCTATTTTGCAGTCAAGATGCTCTTAAGTCCAGCATTCAGATGTAATTCCTTTATTGTGACTTTTGTAGCTCAATGGATAACAGAATTCATTGATCAAGTTCTCGGCTGTTAGGTTCTTCTCAGCTAAATCACAGGAAGAAGTGATTTTCATAAGCTATGAAAGTCGCTTCTTTTTACAGTGGGATACTCATCTAGTTGGTGGAGTTGGGAAATTTGAAATTTGCAGATCTTTCCAACTTATGACTGGAGGTGGTTTGGCCTTATGATTGTCTATTTTGTCTTCAGGTCTTGTATTTTTAAGATATCCTGGGTGATATTCTGGTTCTGGACGTCCAGATGGACGTTCTGGAAGTATGAGGGCTTTTAGGAAGTTGAAAGAAGAGATTTGTTCACAAAATCAAAGCTGCTCCCTACTTTTGTGACATCTAGCGCTGATTCCCACAACAGTCATCAGCTGAATGTTTCCCATGTCTTCGACAGGTTATAGATATTTAAAGTGGTTGTCACACTGATTGAATGCAAACTCTCTTTTTTTATGTGTGAGTTCCTTTTATGCTATAAGACATTTTTTTCTGTGATTATTTATGTTTAACTTGGCACAAAAAGCCTGACAGCCCACTGCTCTTGGGTAGTGTATCGCCTGGCACATCTCAGAGATAGCTGCACTTGAGGTGCACAGCTGTCTGTAAAGCTTGATAAAGAGGCATGTGGAAGAGGCATCTTTTGATAAGGAGGCACTGGAAGAGGCATCTTTTACTTAGGCCTGGAGAGAAAGAAGAGGTGTTAGTTATTCATTGGCATAGACTTGCATGACATGAAAATGATCTATCTCTTTTGGAGTGAGAAGCAAATCAACAGTCGTTTCTATCCCACCTCCTTACAATTTGCGGCACAAAGGAGCAAGAGAAACATGTTCTGTTTACAGGGATACCGATTAAAATAAAATACCTGTGCAGTCAGATTAGCACCTTAGCAATGTTTGCTTAAGTGTTGATGTGAAAAGTGAAGGTCGTAGCAAGCGATTTCAGGTATGGTCTAATCAATGTATTCAATGCAATATATTCTTTAAGGGGGCTAGCATTAGTAGTCTGGAACATCACTGTGACAGACTCATGTGCCTGCAGCCAAGTTTAACCAAAGTGTTGATCTCATCCCTAATTCTAGGACTTCAAATTCAGCTTTCAAAATGAGAACTTTTTCTAAAGGGATGGTGACATTTTTAGCATTTCCTGGAAGTCGTAGAATCTGAAGTTTCACTGCTTTTAGACACAAATATCTAAATGTCACATTCTTTTTTTTTCCCCCCCCTCTTTTCAAAAAGTGACTTATTTTCTGAAATTACTGAAGGACTTCTTGAAAAATTCATCCTTGGACACATCAAATCAGCATGATGAAGAGTGTTTATGCCTTTCCATTAGACAGTGGTGTTATCTGACAGCATCAGATCAAAGTATTACTCTGATGTTCAGTTTTGTCTGGTCATTGTTCCCTTGGCTATGAAGTGTGTGCAATGTCTAATTACAAGTCGAAGAGCAAATTGCTTAAAAGATACTTGGTAGCTTTGAATTGTTTGTGTTTGTTTAAAAAAGAAAAAGGTATTTGAAGCAAATGAATTTTCTTTCCCCTGGCAGAATGCCATTACTTCTATGCCCCAAATTTGTAGGGAGAAATAAAAATGGAGGGCTGAAATTATAGTAAAGTTATAACAAGCTGAAATGTCTCATCACTGTGAACAGGCTGTCTAAGGGTTGCACTGGGAAACATTAATATTTAAAGGTATTCTTCAGGACATTTCCAAGCAGCTCAATGTGAAACATCTTTGCCTACTTAACACATAAATATTTTAAGATGTCAATATTTTGCACACATAGAAAAACACCTTAGCTCACTGCAGGGAAATCAAGGGTAAATGTCTTTCTGTGCTCCCAACACTGCCAAACTATTGGGTTTCTAGGAGTTATTTCAAGCATGGGAGAATGCACAAGTCTTGTATCTAATTTCATTTCAGATTCGAATGCAGCTTTAACTTTAAAAAAAAAAAAAAAAAAAAAAAAAAAAAAACTCTAGAAAGACAGTATCTGCAAGTCTGGCATGACCTGCAAGTGATCTGCAAGATTGGAGTTAACACAACAAAAATGCTAAATTGCTAAAATGCAACTAAGGACAACCAAATAGCAGATCTCTCGAGAGAGGAGATTTTTGTGTTTGGCTGATTATTTTTATTTGTTCTAAGAATTATTGAATAACTTTGCCATGGCAGGCAGTTTGGGGTGACTTGAGGCACTGGGCAGCTTCACTCAGGAAGACCAAGTGGTCTCTAAGGTCCAAAATTTAGGCCTCTTACAGATATCCCATGTGGCCCTTCTTCAGGCTCAATAGGATGGAGGTGACATTTATTTGATGGTCTGATCCATGTACTTGCACTACAGGTCTGTCCCTCACAGTCTCTTTTGAACATTCATTCCAATACCTAGAACACTGACAAAACAAGTACACAAAATCATTGTCTTTGTCTTCTTTTTTCATAAAATAACTCTTCCACACCAGTTTCAGGTGTGGATTTTGTCAGTCTTCATTTGAATGTTAATTAGCAGGATACATTTATGTAGTTTAATATTAGAGAACCAACCTTGGTTAGATTTGTTTGCTGGATAGCAGATTATTGTTATTATCATTATTATTATAGTTGCCCTCAGTCTGCTCTGTAGCTTTCACTGAAAACATTTCCTACAGCAAAACACAGGAGATGGAGAGCAATAGTTCAGGGAAAAGATAAGCTCAAGTCAACAATGTCAAGTCAACAATAAGTCGACACTGGCTTGCTTTTGGAGGCTGTGAGGGAAATGGCAAATAATATTCTGAGGGTTAGAAATAGAAGATTTGGGCCAGAAACACCTGCCTTATCCTTGTTGACATGTTAGCACCAGGGCTGTGTCTATTTATGGTCACCACACTAGTAGAAACATTTGAAATATTTGGTGAGAGAAAAGTGAGAATGAATAGTGGTCTAGAAAATTTATCCTAAGAGGAAAGACTGGAAGAACTGCAGTT